CTAGAGATGTCACTAAACTTCCTGTAACTCAAGAGACTGTCTCCCAAGACACAGAATTATTTAAAGTGTTAAAGTGTGGAGGTTGAGAAAACTCTGATGCAAGGATATCATTCTTAGAAGGAGCTGGTGATTTTTAAAATTGATGTCACGCTACTATTCATGGTAACATCTGCTACTTGTTGAATATTTACTGAGTACAGTTCTAAGTTATCACACTCATCGACTCAGTTCTCAAAACAACCCTGAGTGACAAGAATTATTACTCTAACTCAAAATGAGGAAACTGAAACTAGGAGGTACTAAAATTTGCCAAAGGGCTCCTGGCAGAGGACATTCCTGTGGCTCAATAGGTAAAGAATCTGCCTGCAGTGCAGGAGATCTGGGTTGGGAAGATCCCCTGGGGAAGCAAATGGCAATGCACTCCAGTATTCTTGCCCGGAAAATCCCTTGGACAGAGGAGCCTGGTGGGCTACAGTCTATGAGGTCGAAAGAGTCGGACAGCTTAGTAATTAAACCACCACCACACTGGGCTCCCCTGGTGGCTCAGGTGGTAAAGAATCTGCCTACAATGTGGGAGACCTGGGTTTGACCCCTGCATTGGGAAGATCCCCTGGAGAAGGGAAAGGCTACCCACACCAATATTCTGGCCTGGAAAATTCCATGGGCTGTATGGTCAATGGGGTCACAAAGAGTCGGACACAACTGAGTGACTTTCACTTTCACCCCAGCAGAGTGAGTGATGGGGCCCGTGTCAGTTCAGCCCTGGGCTTCTCCTGCATCCCCCTCTCTGCACGGCTCCCTGCAGCCCCGCTGGACAGGAAACCGTCTTGCCTGGATAGCACCGAGCGCAGAACAAGGAACCGCTTACTCTTTAGATGGGCAGAAGCCTCGGGTTCCAGAGTTGCCAAAGAAAAGTAATCTCCAAAATCCTGCCCTTTGTGACAACATGAATGACTCTTCAGGGCATTATGCAAGGTGAAATAAGTCAGAGAAGGACAAATATTGTATGATCTCACTTATACGTGGAATCTAAGAAACCAAACTTGTAGAGATAGAGAAGAGAATGGTAGTTGCCAGGGGCAGGGGTAGAGGTGGGCGGAATGGGTAGAAGTTGTCAAAAGGCGTGTGTGTGTGTGTGTATGTGTGTAGAGTAGCTTCAGTCGTGTCCAACTCTTTGCGACCCTATGGACTGTAATTTGTCAGGCTCCTTTGTCCATGCAATGCTTCAGGCAAGAATACTGGACGGGGATGCCATGCCTTCCTCCAGGGGATCTTCCTGACCCAGGAATCGAATCTGTGTGTCCTGGTTTTCCTGAATTGGCAGGCAGATTCTTTACTGGTAGCGCCACCTGGGAAGCAGATTGTACAGACTTCTAGTTATAAAATAAAAAATATCCTAGGGATGTAATGTACAGCATGGTTATTATAGTTAATAATCTCTATTGTATATTGGAAAGTTGCTAAGAGAATAGATCTTAAGAGTTCTCACCATAAGGAAAAAAATTGTAACCATATGGGGTGATGCATGTTAACTGAACTTACTGTGGTGATCACTTTGCAATATATACGTACATCAAATCATTATGTTGTACAGCTTAGGATAAAATAATGTGATACATCAACTATGTCTTCAATAAAACTGAAAAAAATAACCTTGCTTCCTTCTTGATCTCTCCAGGGTTAAATTCAAGATTCGAGGAGTCCAATGGCTTCAAAAATTTCTATTCATTGACATAGATCTTTCTTCCCTCTTACACCTATGGAACAATCTCTGACATGCACACACACCATTCATTCATTTATTCATACACTCAACTCAAAAATATTTGTCAAGGGTTGAAGATACAAAGGGGAGAGAAATATATATAGTCTCTATTCCCGAGTTACTAATAGTCTATTGGGTCAGAAAAGCCTAAAAAAATAATCATTCTATTACAGTGTGCTTAGTTTAATGATGGAGATGTGACCAGGCTATTAGAGAAGTACGGAAAAGGGGCCCCTAGTCAGCTTCTAGGGGCCTGGGAGTCATGCATGTCTCCCAGGAGATGGTAACTGTGTGGAGTCTGAAAGGCTGAGATGGAATTGGTCAAATGGAGAGATAAAGAAGGGATCATGTGAAAATACAGTCTCAGAGGCCCAGGCTTCATGGTGAAAGAGCATCTGGAGAAAGTGAAGTAGTCCTGTGTTATTGAAAGGCAAAGCACACAGCGGGGGGCAAGAAGGTAGAGGGTAGGCTGAAGCCTGAAAGGGGAGCTTATAAATGCTAGGAGACACTGGTGAGGGGGGTGGGTTTTAATGTTCAGGTTATAACCCTTAGGGAAAGCTGTGCTTAAACTCTCTTGGAAGACAGACTCGAGGGACACGAGGCTGGAGCCAGGGAGCTGGGCCGTGATGCTGTTGCAGGAGTCCAGGTCAAGAGCTTAAACTGTTTTGGAGTTAAAGTCAGCAGACGTAGGTATTTAGATCTAAGAGCTAAAGGAAAAGGATATGTTATGTTGGGACTGGTTGCATGAATTATTACCTGGCACACATCGGGTAGATCTCTCTGTCCAGTGAACCATTGGACAAAAATGAACTTGTAAGGAGAGAGATGGGAGGGAGACACAGATTTTGGTATCATCAGCAGAGAAGTGGGATTTGCAACAATGGGGCACAGTTGAGTGAATTGGCCCAGTGTCCTCTTCAGTCCAATGGTCTGTGACCAAAGCACTGGGCTGATGTAAAACAAGGCAGTGGGAGGCCACCCATGGAGATGACAGGAGGGCATTCAGAGAACTCAGTGAAAGTTGGCAAGCTGAACAAACAGCACCCCAATAAAGCAAGTACACGTGGCAATGTAGCTTGCTATGCTCTGGATGATCAACGTAGAGGATCAGTGGGAAGCTGCCATTCGCCCTCCTAATGTGAAGGGAATGGCTGTTCGTTGCAACACAAGGTCAACTGTTTGCCAACTTTACAGTGCTCATGGCTTAGACTTGAGCTACTCTTAATCGGAATATTTACTGTGGGGCTGTGAACCATGGGAAGCTCTATCTGGCATCTACAGTCCTGTCCCAGGATGGAAATTTGTTGGATTTTCCACATCATCCTTCTTTCTACAATGTCCTGGTCCTTCCTAAATGGCAGAATGTGGTGTTCACAGTCACATGCTCAAGCATGATTGTGATCATGTAAACACATACATCCCCACATCCCCACTAACATACGCACAAGCTTTGAGTTAGAAAAACATGCCCTTCCCTATTAACACCTGGCACCTGGTATAATATAAACCCAGCCTTAGTAATTATTCAAGGCCTTTTCAGCAGCTTTCTTCTGACCAGTGTTGATGGCTGGTGCCAGTCACCATAACGAGGTGTGAATTAACGCAACAGCATTCATGCCGCACAGCCTCCTGGGCTTGTGTTTGAAACACAGGGCTGTGTTTTAGAGCCTTGGATAAAGTTCATTAATAGGTGCGAGCACAGTTCTCAAAGGGCAGTTCTGCCATATTTCCAGTCACTGTTCAGAATTCTCATTAGCCAATTACCCTGCTCCTGTCTTTCCAGCTCCTGCAGTAATGTGTATTTTAAAGCCTCTGATAAGACACAGCATGTTTTAAATATACCTTAATGTATTGGAAATGCATGAGCCCCCTTCGGGTTTATATATCTTAACCACAGCCAATTTTGTAAAGTTATAAATAAATGTTACAGGCATCGGCTGCAGTAGTAGAATCAGCTGGGGATATTTAAAAGCCAGTCTAAAGTCTAACTTACCTCTAATCTGAGGTATAAAGCATGGTGAGCAGAGCAGGTAGGAATATGCAGATGATTTCCTGGTAATAAAATCGAGAACCTTGACATATGAAGTGAGATTGAGTGGGAATAGGCTTGGTGGGGGCAGCAGCTTGGTTGAACTATCAAGCATTTATGCATTGTGGGGATAAAAATGAAGAGAACCACGGTTCTGACTGGTTTATAAACATGACAGAAGGATTGAGGTGAATGGTCCTGCAGGAGGACAAAATGTTATGGGGGACAAATTGGGAGGATTCAGATGACTCTCTGAAGAGGTAGCAATTGAGGTGGACTTTGAAAAATGGGTCAGATTTCATAGGCAGAGACTGGAAAAAAGTGGTGGGAGATAGGGACACAGAGGACGTTTCAGTGCAGGGTAGACAGTTCAGTTGGGTGGGAGGAAGCATCAGGTGCATGCAGCGGAGCAATGGAAAACAAGTCTGAAAGGGTGGGTTGGGATCAAATTGTATAAGGCCTTGAACTTCTTGAAAGAAGTTGTGGATGAATTCACTGGAAATGGAGAGATAATTCAAAGCTTTTAATCAGAGGAAGAATAAGGTAAGAGTTACATTTCAGGGGAACTAAGTTGGCAGCAGAGTTTACAAAGGACAAAAATGGAGTCACCCTGGAATTGAGAAGACCAGTTGGGGAGCTTTTGAAATAAAACACGAGAGAGAGAAGGAAGGTCTGAATTAGGGATTCTACCAGTGGGACTGCAGAGAAAAAAGCACCTCTGAGAGATATTAGGAGGGAAGATAAACGTGCAGGACCACAGGCTTCTGATTGGATGTGATGCATGAATACTGAGGGCCGCTAACGCAGGCGGAGCATCAAAGATGGTGCCCACATTGTTAGCCCTGGTAACTGGTACCATGAGCTAAGCCTTGAACAGACTAGAAGTAACACTGCCACAAAGATAGACTGACTTGAGAGTGGGCCATGGGGGTGGAGGATGAATGAAATGTTCCAGTCTTGAAAGACCTACAACTTCTGCAAGGACCTGAGTCTACAGATAGTTGCTTGTGAGACTGGAGAGCAGATAAGACCAATAAGGGGCAGAGGGTGAAGCAAAATGAGAAGGCTAAGAAGAGATGCCATTATTCAGGAGGTGCCCTGCCTTTCTGCCTCACTGTAGCTCCTATAAATGGTGAGTTCTTGACCAGCACTGGGAATATCTAGTCATTTTCAAGATCTGACTTTGCCATTGTTATTCCTCTGTAGGACAAGAGAAGACAGGAAACAAGGGAGCCAGAGTCCACAGAGAGGCCAAGACAGACTCCAGAATGGAAGCTGCAGTTTGTCCAGGAGATGGTGAGTGGGGAAGCAATGGAAGAGGGAAGGGATGAAGCAATATTGCTCTCTGAGAATTCCTTCTGTGGGGCCCTAGGAATCAGCCTGAAGATATTCCCCACCCCCAGGGGAGAAGAGAGGTATATTAGTAGACACGACTGCTATGTGAAAGAAGATTCTTGAAGATGATGGTTAGCCAGAGAAGTAGACCATTAAGAGGGGGGTGTGAGTGTGTGTGCATATACATGCATTTATGTATGCACTTATGTACATGCATATACATATACTTGCATATACACAGATATATGCACATATATACATATATATGTATTTATATCTACACATCTCTATCTCTCCATCTATTTATATATCTATCAACCTGCATGTCTAAGTGATTTGTTACAAGAGTAGGACCTTACACAATTGTGGGAACTGCTTAGTCTCTGTAAGGCTGCTAAATTTCATCTGATGCTGGAGCCTCATGTCCACAGGAAGGCAGTCATGAAGGGAAAGAAAGTGAAAGTAGCTTGGTCATGTCCGACTCTTTGCAACCCCAAGGACTTAAGCTTCCAGGCTCCTCATTCCATGGAATTCTCCAGGCAAGAATACTGGAGTGGGTTGTCATTTCTTTCTCCAGGGGCTCTTCCGGACCCAAGAATCAAACCTGTGTCTCCTGCATTGCACGTGGACTCTTTACCATCTGAGGCACCAGGGAAGCCATGAAGGGAAGAAAGACATAACGTGGGGAAAGAAGGACAAATCGAACTTCCAAGAAAAGCTGGAATCTGCAAGGATGGACCAGCTGGAATCTGTGCCTATTCTCACCACCTTCAGGCATGAAGAAACAGGGAACCCACAACCAAGGTGGTTACTCTCACTATGGGGTAAAAAGTTACCAGACCCAGTCGCTGGAGGGGCTGAGGGAGGGCCCAGAGGAAGGTGCCCGGCATCAAAGAGAGGTGAGAGCCGATAAGTGAGTGAACCCAAAGATCTCCTGTCCCAGCTTCTGAATGTCAAAACCGCCATGGCTGTGGCTCCATGTCCACCCACCAAAGCTTTAAGGAAAATCTCTCTCGTGGCTTGTCTAACTAGAAACATACAGAGAGGAGTTCTGGGAAATGAGGCTCATTTGATCTAGCTGATCTGACACGTGCAGAGCCACCATGGCCAAGGGGATAAGGGGAGAATCTGAGAGATGAGTAGACTAGTCTTCTGTCTTCTCTAGTCGTCAGGATCCAACTCGCCAGTTTGGATCTGGTGTTTGACTCAAAGCTTCCTAAGTCAAGGTTTACATCCCATCTTCCTAGTTCTCTTCCACAACATGTAAGGACAGGCTCGTGAGTACTGTTAAGTCTCCAGGGACTGTACTATTTTATATGCATATATATTTTCTTTGGCAATAAGGAGTTCATGATCTGAGCCACAGTCAGCTCCCGGTCTTGTTTTTGCTGGCTGTATAGAGCTTCTCCATCTTTGGCTGCAAAGAATATAATCAATCTGATTTCGGTGTCGACCATCTGGTGATGTCCATGTGTAGAGTCTTCTCTTGTGTTGTTGGAAGAGGGTGTTTGCTATGACCAGTGTNATTCTTATAATATAAAAGCAGTCAACTTTATTGAACCTGAATTTTATTTTTACAAAGGAAATTTATTTTTGAATCATGATTTACCTCATATAACATTCTATATGACAGTGAGCTGTCCCAGAACTGCACTAAAAATATTTATTTTCAAGAATCCATGTTTACATTGCTTTTATTTTCTCATTTTGTGTCAGTCCTTTAAAACAAGATAATTTACTTTGATATTATTTCAGTATTTGAGGAATCCATGGGTAGCAGCAAGCAGAATTCAAAGGATTAAATTTGCCTAGCATGTATTTTATATTTGAATTTTTACAATCCAGAATATTTTAATTCCTCTTATTTTAATTTGTCACAGAAAAAAAAAATCCATGTAACCTCTTTGTAGATAATAGTTCAGTGACATTTTCCTGCAAAACAAACATCTTCATTGGTAGAAGAGTAAGAGATACTCTCTCAGTTTTGACTAGAAATATTTTTGTTAATAAATAAGTGCCCTGCACTTCATAAGTCTTCTCTATACTTTCCTTGAATGAATCAGTGAAGAAGAACCACCATCAGGTGAAATGTGATATAAATAAAATCTCCAAAATGGCATTACTATATAGATATATAAATCATGAATAAATGAATGTGTTAGCTGCTCAGTTGTGTCCAATTGTTTGCGACCCAATGCAGCCTGCCAGGCTCCTCTGTCCATGGGATTTTCCAGGCAAGAATACTGAAGCAGAGCGGGCTGTATTTCCTTCTCCAGGGGATCTTCCCAACCCAGGGATCGAACCCGGGTCTCCTGCATTGCAGGCAGATCTTTTACCATCTGAGTCACCAGGGAAGCCCTAACCTCCTGCCATAGATGGTATTTTTTGAGTCCCCATGGAGTTCCATTTTGAAAGTCCAAATCATTATCATATTGGTAGGGAGAATAATATGGTACTCAGTTTACAAAAGAAGAAAGAGAAGAAATTTAAGTCCCTCTGATCAATTCAAGCTCTGTGCATAATGCTCTGTCAATAGACACTGCATGTGGCAGCTCCAGTTGAATGCTAATCCTTCCATTTTAAAAAGGTTACATGGCATGTTAGCTTCATGACTTCCATTAAAGCCAAAGGGTGTTACACCATTACCATACTTTGGAAAGAATGCTCTCTAATGCTATTGATTTTGATCTTTTGAACTCAAGCTCTGATGCCTGTGTCCATTGACAACTACCCTGCCTAGTTCTTACAGGACTCTGAAGTGCTGGATTAGCAAGTAAGCCCCTTTTTCAAATTAATCAGCTTGCCTATCTGAGACAAATGTTTTTATCTTAATGCTCTTAGAAATGCCACATTTCAAGCTTTTTTCCCATAGTTAGAGTATACAGTTCAGAACTGCCAACCGTGGGTTTTGAAGAAGTAAATGGAAGGCTCACTTCAGGAAGCAGAAGCTATTGTGACATGGTCAGATCTGTATTGCAGGAAGTGGAGTATATCTGAACAGTGGCTATTTAGGAAATGTGGGTAGCAGGCAAGATATAAAGCAGAGGTGCCCTTTGGAAGGCCACTGAGGATATCTAGGCTATAGATAATCATAGTGGACTTGGGTATAGGTAATAGAGAGGCAGAGAAAATAAAGGAATTCCCGTGGTGCTTACATTGTAGAATTGACATGGTTCATGTGTGTAGAAAAACTGAGTGAAAAGGGGGTGCCATTAACAGTAGGATAATGAAGACTCATGGGCTATACAGCAAACTGGAGGACCCAACCAGTGGAGACAGCAGCAACTCAGGTTCAGCCATTTATTACCAAGCAGGAGTTTAGAACCAGTGTTGTTATTCCATCGAATTAAAAAAAAAACCAAAGCTGTGCACTTGGATATTGATATGACTCATTAGAAAAGACCCTGATGCTGGGAAAGACTGAAGGAGAGAGGAGAAGGGGTCAACAGAGGATGAGGTGGCTGGATGGCATCACCGACTTGATGGACATGAGTTTGAGTAAACTCCGGGAGTTGGTGATGGACAGGGAGGCCTGGCGTGCTGTGATTCATGGGGTCACAAAGAGTCGGACACAACTGAGTGACTAAGCTGAACTAAACTGACATTTTCTTTGCGCATGTTCTCAGTCGCTCAGTTGTGTCCATTTCTTTGCAACCCCGTGGCTTGTAGCCCTCCAATATCCTACATCCATAGAATTTTCCAGGCAAGAATAATGGAGTGGATTGCCATTTCCTATTTCAGGGGATCTTTCTGACCCAGGGATTGAACCCACATCTCTTCTATCTCCTGTATTGATGGGTAGATTCTTTACCACCATGACACCTGGGAAGCCCTGTATTTTCTTTACTATTCAGCATAACGTTAAATAGAGAGTAGTATTACTCCCATTTTACAGGTGGGGAAACCAAGACTTTGGGTGGTCAAGTAAAGGGTTAAGGACCACACAGCTAGAAAGCTGATAGAGTCTGTATTGCAACCTCAGTTAATCTGACTCCAGGGTTTCTGGTTTTAACACTACAAAATCTAAAGCATCCCAAGTTTCCAACAGAATTTCTGATGGTAGGATTTCAATAAATTGTAATTAAATGAATGGGTGGGTTTATGGATGAGTGATGGGCAAATGAAGGGATGAGTGGACAAGTGGTGGGTGGATGGATAGATGGTAGAACTAAGGTATCTGGGAGAAATGGAGATTGCAGGAGAGAGACAGGCTCAGGGGAGAATTTGTGTGGCATTTACAAAAGCTTGTCTTTCTTCAGGTAGGGGAGAGAACCAGAGGAAAAGCCAGATGACTGCTGAGCCCAGCTTTCCTTTTGCCACCGAATTAATCCATAGACTCTTCCATGAAAAACTATGCTTCCAGTGGGTCATCATTCGTATTGAATATTATTTACCAGGGCCCATGTAAGTGGTGAACCACGGATCAAAGGCCTGATTCCAAATCTGCCTTCATAAGCAACTTGCTGTGAACTCGAGCATCTAATTCTGCCTCTGTTCCAAGTGTTAATGGTGCTTGCCAGGCCATTTTGCTGGGTTCTGTTTTTGACTCTGCGTCCTGAGACTTGACCTGAGGAAAATTAACCCATCTTTTTATTTCTCAGTTACTTCAGAATGACAAGCCATTAATGTAGGAGCTGTACCCCTTAAAAGTAGGAGTAGACCCTGGGCCCATCTAGATTGCTTCCAGAAATGTGTCCAGTCTGTAGGACAGGTCACCAGAGCCCTTCCTTGGCACCAGCCTCTCCCAGCTGGGGAAGTGATGCCTTCACTTGGGAGCTCATTGCAAAGAGGATTAGTCTTCCCTCTTTTAGAAGCTTCCTGTGTATGGGAAGTGAACAGCTCCCATCCACATCCTCCCTCCTCCTTGGCAGGCTGCTGTCTCCTGCCATTGTGAGGTCCCAGGAGCCTGTGACATTATCTGCTGTCTCCCAGGAGAGACTCCGGACTACAGTTGTGAGCCCTGAGATTGATGAACGTGCAGGGAGGGCTCCTGTGCCAGACACGGGGGCCACTGAGCTAGGATGATGGGCTGTGCTGGACCGGTGTTGCAGGGCGGGGTTAGCCAGGGCCTGGACTGGGGGGATTTTTCCCAGGGTCTGAGCACCCTGGGAGAGAAGCCCAGCACAGGGAGACCCGGTAGCTATCCTTAGGAGTGAGGAGCTGTCATTGGTATGTCTGCATTCTTCAGCAGTGTGGACTCCAGAGTCTTAGAAATTCCCCTGGCAGCTGAACATCCCACTGGCCACAATTAACCTGCTCAAGACTAGGTCAGCAACTTTGCAGGGAATGTTTGCTGATGGCATTCTACTGGGTGTACTGGTACTACTGACTCTGGTCCCCAGAAAGCCTGGCATGTCTCTAGTGGCAGAAGAAAGCTAGGAGCAAATTCTGCCAGCATCACCGTATCCTTAGGCTGAATGTGACATTTAGAGGTCACCTGGTCCAGCCATTTGCCTGCAGGCATACCTGGACATAAACCAGCCGAGACAGATGAGAATCTGTTCTCTCTCCCTGCCTTCAAAAACCTTCACACACAGAAGGACATTTCATGTATAGCCTTAGTATCTAATATTCCTCAACCCTGAGACAGTTGTTTCTGAGCACTCATCTGTATTCCACTTGCTCCCAAATGATTCTCTCTTTGATTTATATCTCGATAGAGATGGAAGGAAGAACCCTTTGCATGTTGTATGCAGTAGGCGTTGGAGCTTGCTCATGCAGACATCTCCAGAATTCACTGTGCTGCTTCTAACTCTGCGTTCAGTGACATCACTTTGGTAGCTTGAAATCAGCCATGGTGGACTCCTCAGATGACTTAGTGGGAAACAATCTGCCTGCCAATGCAGGAGATGCAGGATACACAGGTTTGATCCCTGGGTCGGGAAGATCTCCTGGGAAGGAAATGGCAGCCCTCTCTAGTATTCTTGCCTGGGAAATCCCATGGATTTCACAAAAGAGTCAGCCGTGATTTTGTGACTAAACAACAATCAGCCGTGGTAAGAGTATTTACACCATGGAAATGGGCAAACACCACAGACTGGGGCTTTCTTTCCTCCCAGGAACAAATAGCTGCTTACTATTTCCCAGCACACAACTAGTTGTGGAGATCGGTACTCCCCGGAACTTGGGCGTCAGTGCTTCTCCGTACTCTTCACCGTGGTGCTATCAGGTAACCGCTTCAGTGCTTTCAGGTGAAGCCCACTCTCAGCAGGACTATAATTTCGCAGCGAGCAGAGGCCGGGGCTTGCAGTCACCCCCTGCCCAGGACGTTTTCTACAGCAGCTGCATGTCTACTGTATGCCAGAGGAATGAAGGACACATATCAAATCATCAGGCTGAATGACTCTGGTTTTCATCGTCTTAGTCCTAATGCGATCCCACGGTTGGAGGCAGATTTGCCAAGCAGGGGATATGTTTATCTCAGTTGACTTCAGAGTTGTGCAATTCCATTCAAGCAGGATTTGAGAGACACCTTCTCCGTGTTCACCGGGTTCTAGGCTCAGGAGGAGGGCGTGTCTGTGAGCTGCTGCAGCCCATCACTTCTATGCTCAAATAAATTACAATTTGATTTGTAAGTTATGCATACCAGCAGAGAGTGAGGGATCGATATTAATATTCTGAAAGACTTGTGCTTGAAGGATTTTTAGTGGTCATAAAGCATGGTGGTAAGAGTATGGGGCACTGGGGTCAGATTGCCTGTGTTCCGACTTCAGATCACCATTTAGTGGCTGTGCAACCCTGGAAGAGGTGCCTGCCATTCTGCAGCCTACCCCACCCCAACGCAGATTCCTCATTCTAAGAGTACAATGAAATCTAGCTCACACAGTCATTATCAGTCAGTGAATTAATGCTTATAAAGCACATAGTACATGGCCTGCGATATAGCAAGTGTGAAATATACGGCCGTTGACATTTTAACGGCCTCTTTCTAAAAAAGTGAATAAACTGAGGCCCAGAAGTAGAAAAATGACTGTTCACTAGTGGCAGAACTGGGGTTAGCAGCAATAACTGATTTAATCAGTATAGGAAGGTACATCCTTCAGTGACAAACCCCCAAATCTCAATGGCTTGGCATGAGAAATGTTGTTGATTGTTTATGCAAAGTCAGATGGGGACCCGGGGACTCTGCTGCATTCTGGGGCTGCATCTTCTGTTGCTCTTGGTCTCCAAGGCTACCCCAGGTAGAGCTGGGGGAGGTGTGCCAGCTCCTACACCCTTGGCCAGTCCATTGGTGAGAACCGGTTACATAGCCCCATCCAAGAGTGGCGGGGATCGTCAGCTGGCATGGATCAGTTGGTGAGCACAGTGCCTGGCATACCCATGAGACAAAAGCCAACACATAGTGGGAACCTGGTGAAGTGCTTAATTGCAGGACAGATACTATGTGTGATAGTGATTAAGTGTCTACTGAGGGGTAGAGACAAGTGTTGTCAGAGATTAGAGAAGGGCAGATAAGAAAGGACGAAAGGGCAAAACAATGCTTGTTGAGGGGGTAATACTATCTCAGGACCTGGGGCAAGAGCAAGTCCGAGAACGATGCATAGATCAGGAGTTGTAGAGGGGAGGGAGGCCCCGTGAAATCAGCATGGACAAATGGGGGAGCCTTTCTGCAATGGTGATTGTGATTCCCAGCCTTGGTCCCAGCGGTCACGGTGCAGGCAGAGGAGGACATCACTGTGAACAATGACAGTTCCCCAAAGCTCAGGCTCCTGCCCCTACTCTGGCACTCATCTGGGGAAACTTCCAGGGAGCTCAGCTTCCTTCATGAAAGTGAAAGTGAAAGTCACTTAGTCGTGTCCAACTCTGCAACTCCATGGACTATACAGTCCACAGAATTCTCTAGGCCGGAATACTAGAGTGGGTAGTCTTTCCCTTCTCCAGGGGATCTTCCCAACCCAGGGATTGAACCCAGGTCTCCCACATTGCAGGAGGATTCTTTACCAGCTGAGTCACAGGGAAGCTCAAGAATACTGGAGTGGGGAGCCTGTCCCTTCACCAGTGGATCTTCCCAACCCAGGAATTGAACCAGGATCTCCTGCATTGCAGGCAGATTATTTACCAACTGAGCTATAAGGGAAGCTTCCTTCATAGACCCTGAGGTAAGTGCTCTCTGGTGAAGCTCAGTGTGGTGGGAAGAGGGCTGGACATGGCATCAACAAATGCACATCCCACATTTTTCTGTTCCCACTTTGGCCCCTGACTGCTGTCAGCCTCTCCACCTCTCTGAGTTGTGGTCCCCATTGGTGAAAATAGGAGTTCCTGCTGGCCTTTTACAGATCTGATTTTCTGGGGCTCTCAGCCTCCCATAGCCATCACTGATATGATATTTTGGTGGTAAAAATTTTTGGAGGGCCAATCTGGAACTCTCCTCTGGGAGGAGGTTCAGAGGAGGTGAAGATTTGACCAGGAGATTCAGAGGAGGTGATGATTTGACCAGAAATACAGCAATTTAGACGGTGAACAAGATGGAACATGGCATATGCAAATCTTTGGTGAGGGGCCAAGCTTACATCAGAAAAGACTCGGGATAAGGAGACAGCTCTGGAAGCTGGGCCCGGCCTCATAAATCTCAGCACTGACATATCAATCAGTCAGTTCAATCAGTTGCAACATTTTTTTTCTTTTGGAAATAAATAAAGATGAAGGCAAGAGATACCACCCAAAGAGGAAACCCCGGAGCAGCTTGCAGAGTCTTACTGCCACTGAATCCTGGAGCTGGGCTCTGATGAATGGAGCAGGCTGCATTTGATAAATCATGTCCCTCAATCCAGCGGGTTTAGGCTCTTGTTTCCTAAATGGGAACTTAATGCTGTTCACTCATTCATAGGTAGGAGGCTGCATCAGAAAGTTAATATATAAAGCTGTTATTTACAAGGGTCTCCATGTTTGCTTTTTAAAAAATAAACTTATAAATCACTCGCATCTCAGATAGAAACTTTTCTGGTATAAATTGTCTCCCTCTTCCTATAAATCTCACATTTACAATCCTTCCTGATCAATCAGACCTCACATGTCTAGGGAGGGAGAGCTGGAAATAAAGAAGGGGGACTGTGACTGGGAGGCCAGGAGGGGTGGTGTAGAGGGGCTGGAGGCAAAGGGCTGATTTGTTCCTGGGTTCGCCTTGGAGTCTTTTTATTTATTTATTTTATAGTCTATCTGGCTCTGGGAGTCCACTGATTAAAAAAAAAATTCAAGTCAATAAAATATGCAACAGGAGATGGATTCTGGGCTGGTTTATTAGGCAGTTTCCTGCAGAGCTCCCAGGGTGGGGAACACGCCACCTCCACACCCCGCCCGGTTCTTATCCCACATTAACCCTTGGGGTGCTGCCAGCCGACCTCACGGGGCACAGGAGCCTCCAGCACCCCCAGGTCCCTGCTGTAGTCCCCACCGGCTCCTCCTTCCCACACCAGAGGTGTCCACGGACTTCCCCACCGCTGCAGCGTCACCACCAGTCCCCTCCCTTCCTGCCTCTATTCCTTTAGGAAGCCACCTCCTCCAAGAAGTCCTCTCTAACTAACATCACAGATAAGGATTTATATTAGGTCAGCGAAAATGTGCGTTCAGGTTTTTCTGTGACAGCCTCGGGGAACCCGAATGAACTTTTGGGCCAAGGAATATTAGCAAATGGCAACAGTGAAAAACCAAGCAGGTACTCTATCAGGGGATGAGCTAATAAAGGAGTGGCTTGTGTTCTTAGAAGTAACTTCCTGCTCATATGTAGACAGACTGGGTCTTTGTGGACGAGGAGGGACCTGGGACACTGATGTTTCTCCTGGGATGGGCTCCCCTGGGGCTCCTCTGGTCTCTTTCCTCTCTCTCAGGCACCAGACCCTCCAAGGTCCTCATTGTTCAAAAGGGCTTTTATCTACTTCTGCCCCACCAGCCCCTGCGCCATCCACCTCTCTAAGCCACCAGCCCTGAGGAGTTCACGCTTTTTCTGTCTGTCCTGGCTGACTTTTTCAAGAGGGAATTTGTTTCAAAGAATGTCTTCATTGAGGAATTGAAGTGGTATCATTTTAACTAGGGGGGTGCCTCACTTAACGCACTCAATAGATTTCTGAAATGTAAGTAAAATTGAAAAAAAAAAATCCTTTTAAAAGCCCAGAGATGTTCTACTTAAAGCAATCTTATGATAAATCCTTTCACGAAGAGATGCTCTAGTCCAGAGCAGCAGATTTGCAGTTCTGTCTTTCTGCTGGACACGTCGTCCACCTGCCTAACAACAATACTAACAGTACTGGCAGCTGGGCTGTTTGTTGTGCGCCAGGCACATGCATGGGTGGGTGTGCCTGCGTGCAATTTTCCCACCACAAGCTTGTGTATAAATCCTCTATTATCCCTACTTAACAGATACAGGAGGCTTTTCTGGTGCCTCAGTGGTAAAGACTCTTCCTACCAGTGCAGGAGACATGGGTTTGCCCCCTGAGTTCAAAACACCCCCTGGATAAGGAAATGGCAACCCATTACAGTATTCTTGCCTGGATAAACCCACGGACAGAGGAGACTGGCAAGCTGCAGTCCATGGGGTCACAGAGTCAGACACGACTTGGTGTATAAGCAACAACAACAACAGGTAAAGAGACTGAGACAAAGAGAAATTCGCACGGGTCACAAGTGATGAATTAAGATGAAGTCTGACAGCTCAAAGTCAAGGTGCATAAAATCAGATGTGTCCTATCCCACCTTAGTCTATGTAAACCTGCCTTTTTCTTACCTGTTTGTCTAGCACAGTTCTCCCACTTGTGGGCAGGGCTAAACCTTAGAGCATGTTTCTTCTCACTTCTTCTCCTGCCTTGCCCAGTCAGTTGTCAAGTCTATTGATGTGAGCACAATCCCACTCTTGTCAC